ACATAGGCATTTAAACATAAACAATTATGTTGTAAATTAAAAACAGTTAAGTCCAAATATTTTTCCCTTCAGGATGACTTGGCATAGTCCATATGTTCTTCTTTTTCTTCTTCAGATGCAAATCCACTAATGGATGTTAGCGATCACCTTTTCCATTAATTCTCTATTTTTTGCAATATGTATCAGAGATTGTATGTCGTTAATCCCTGTCCATTGCCTTATGTTTCGGAGCCAGGACATTTTCTTGCGTCCCATTCCTCTCTTGCCTTCAATTTTACCCTTGATTATAAGTTGGATGAACTGGTATTTTTCATTTCGCATGATGTGACCTAGATACGCCGTTTTCCTTTTCTTGATGGTTTCGAAAAGTTGGCGTTCTTGGTTTATTCTTTTAAGGACATCTATATTTGTGATTTTCGCTGTCCATGGTATTTTTAGGATACGGCGATAGAGCCACATTTCGAAAGCTTCTAATCTGTTTATATCCCTCGTTTTGAGTGTCCAGCCCTCTACGCCATATAGTAGCACTGACCACACGTAGCACTTAGTAGTCCATATGTTCACGATGGTAATATTAGTCTTCTTTAGAAGATCAGTTTAATTTTGCTGGACCATGTTGAGGCCATTGTTTTTAAGGGCGTTGAAAGAAGTATTAATCTTATTAATTTATTCGCTAAGTTTCTTATCTCCATTCAATACATCTATACCGCTTTAATTTCATATCATCAATTATTAGTTTAGATCTCTTATTATACATATAGAATAGCTTTAATACGAGACTCAGAAGCCAATGATGATGTAATCTGCGTATTCGATCACTTATACGGATTTATTTAAATATTATGCCAATTTTCAGAGCGAGCTGAATAAAAAGCACGAACCTTCCCGCCTTAGTCCACATTTACAATGGAATAGCCTTAAAATGTTCTGAATTATGACTACGCTAGATCTACCTGTGGGTGTTAGTTCCTTTGATTAAACAAGCTGAAGCGCTATTTGAAATTCTCTGATAGCCTGAAACAATTTTTGTTTATTTACTGAGTGATGCTGCTTTGAAATCCACATAAAGGTGGTGGATTTTCTTTGTGAACTAGCAGTACTCTCTTTTTTTTTCATTATTCTCAAAAAGTTGTCATTTGTCTCGTGCTCCTTCTCAAGACGGTTCATTGTAGCGACTCTCTTGGTCGAAGACTCTACTTTATTTGACATATCTGAGATTGGTGGCTGTTCTGATGCTGCTAGCAGTCGTCTAGCAAGGTCTTCATCTTACGAAAGTTGCTCTCGCCATTTCTTTCGTTGTTCTTACTTCTAGGTCAGGGTCTAGGTCACCTGTTATTCAGCACATCAAGTATTAATCGTGTTAGCTTCTTTGGTACCAGTTGGAATCTTCTGAGCTATGTACTAACATCGCTGTGTTGACAGCGTATCTTGTAACTTATACTGAATGGATATTAATGTTAACATTTGAAACTTTTCCAATAATCTGTCTTACTGTAGAGTCTTGGATGGTTGTTGATTTATAAGGTCGAAAGCTACAATGGCATCATCCCACAATTTATTCGGAAAATAAGAACGCATTCTATTGACAATACGTCATAGATAACATGTTGATCAGGGTGATGCCTCTATGGTAATCACCTTAAAATTACTTCTACAGCTTGTTCTTTGGTTCAAAGTGCTTTAATATCTGCTTTTTGCCAGTAAGTATAGACCCATCTTCATCTACACGTTCAAGGTTTGATTCAAGGTTTGATTTCTTTTTTTCTCCAGCTATTCAGATATTACTAGAATTATCATTGGCATTTTCTATTATAACGCTTGACTACCTTGTTTAGGGCATTTTAGTGCTGCTCTTATTTTAATGTAAGCGTTCACTTTTCTGTTTGTCTAAGATTGCCTTAGAAGACATCATAGAGCGTGGAAACAAGCACACAGGAAGAATAATAAAATGGCAGAAAACATAAACTGGATCCATAAAGACCAGTAAGGAGACTATCAACACAAACAAAAATATATGAGTGATGAAAAAGGCTAGAAGGTCGAATAAACTTATTCTATTACAATGATTTCTTGTTCGGAAACTTTATTAACCATCTAGAAACTATATCAAGTTATAATTTTCTAATCAGATACAACTATTTTTGAATGTTTGTTTCAATTTAGTCTTGATATTGGATCCAGATTTTGACGATTGGGATGCTGGCTTCGCCGCATTTTAAACCAGATTTTCATGTATTTCTATTGAGACAAATGTCTAAACCTTGTATAAAATTTTCACAAAATTCATCAAACAACTCGTAACTTGTGCTGTGAAAAGTGTATGACCTGGAGGCTTTTTCCTTAAATCTTTCTCTCCATAATCAGTTTTAAAAATTGGTACTTGGAATTCCTAAATAAGTGAACCAGCTATGCTGGTTTCCTTCGCTTTACTATTTGGTTGTATGATCCATCTAGCCAATTTGAAGGATTGTTCTGAACACCCAGATTTCGAAGCCTCAAGCCAGTTCGTGACGTTAGCTTTTATTGTCCAAGCATACACCACATACAGTAGCACCGAATAAATGCAGCATTTCACAAAACGCTACCGTACTGTTAAATAAAGACTTTTGTTGCTAAGGACAGTTCTTATACTTATAAATATTGCTATTATCTGTTCAATTCTCCTACGTATCGCTGTGTTTGGTCCAAGGTTCTCAATTATCCAACTTCCGAAATATCCGATCAGTGCGGTTTCCGTCCTAATAAATCAACAACGGACCAGATATTTACAGTGAGGCAGATCCTTGAAAAAACCCTAGAGTTCGGCGTCGACACCCACCACATGTTGACTTCAAAGCCGCATACAACTGCGTTAATAGAAATAAACTTCTACTTGCTATGGTAGAATTTCGCATTCCGTTTGATCTTGTCCGGTTAACTGAACTTACACTCACAGGTGCAGAGAGCATAGTAAAAATCCAAAACGATCTCTCAAGACCCTTCCATTGCAAAAACGGACTAAGACAGGGTGATGGACTATCGTGTCTCTTATTTAACCTGGCATTAGAAAAAATAATTCGAGAGTCGCAGATTACTACGAATGGTACTATCTTTAACAAATCAGTACAAATTGTCGGATACGCAGATGACATAGACATCATAGGTAGGTCCACAGAATCTGTGACTGAAGCATTTCGGTCGTTAAGAGCATCTGCACAGAGAATGGGACTAAATATAAATGTTCAAAAGACCAAATATATGTGATGCACTAGGTCAAGCAACCCGACACCTACACGAATAATAATTGATGACCTAGAAATGGAAGGTGTCGACACCTTCATATAGTTAGGGTCGCTGCTAACCAAAGATAACAACGTCAGTGAGGAAATTAAAAGAAGAATAGTGCTCGCCAATAAGTGTTACCATGGCTTAAGAAGACAGATGGCCTCAAAAATGCTTAGAAAAATTAAACTGACTGTATACAAAACACTAATAAGACCAGTGCTAACATATGGTTCAGAAACTTGGACACTAACACAGAATGACCAAGAATTGCTCAAACGTTTTGAGCGAAAAATACTAAGACGAATATATGGAGGCATAAAAGAACAAGGTTTGTGGCGCAGGTGTTACAATTTTGAGTTGTATAGAAGATTTGGAGAACCTGACGTTGTAAAATTCATTAAGGTAGCACGTCTTAGATGGATAGGTCATGTAATCAGATGCCACCATCAGAAATCTTTAAGCCACCAATCGCAACGGAAAAACAGTTTTGAACGAGATAATTATTACAACCCGCATCTCGAAAACCCTACTTCTTCATTTCCTGCGACGAAGACAAGGCAGACGATTCTTCTTCTCAGCTTCTGCTACCACTATTTAGGACCAAAGGTAAATAGCGCTATAGTTCTTCTGCTGCTAATAATTTCCTCACTGTCGACTGTTGTGACTGCGTCAATGGCATAGTGAAGGTTATTAACGAAGGCTCTTTAAAAAATGCCTTCAGAGTAAAGATTGAATAGTAGGGAAGACAAAACGTAACCCTGTCTTACGCGTTTCTTTATTGGTAAATTCTGTGTAGTTTCAATCCCCACTTTTAGCGATGCTGTTTGATTTAAGTAGAGTTTCTTACTGAATCTTGGGTCATTTTGGTCTATCATTCTACCTTGTGGCAGTTTAATTAGCTCTGTATGTTTGACACAGTCGTACGATTTCTGGTAATCAATGAAGCATAGGAAAACTTCTTTGCGATAGTCTTTGCATTTTTAAAACGATACAGTCAAACTAAAGAGTACTCCAAGTATGCTGAAGCCTTGCCTGAATCCAAACTGAGTAGGATCAACGTCAACTACTAGTTGTGAAAGATTTAGAAAGAAAATTATATGATGTCATTAAAAATTTTGTTCAGTTTGCCCGTTTTTTAATATATCTTCAATATGGAGTTTTTCACGTTTCTTAATACAGTTGTTTCATGTAAAAAGCAGTTTCAACTAAGGGGAAACATAATCAAGACATTTAAAGTCTTTCTAATGCTTACTAATAGATTTATTGTCAGAATATCAAGATAATATCTTTAAATTGGAATTAAATAATCTTTAAAGCTCAAGGAATGGTCAAAATGATCTAATAACTAGACCATTCCTAAGTGCTACTTCCCAACGTTTATTTATAAATATTTAAAATGCATCGCCATGTATTTACCAGAGGCATGATAGTTCAAAGATTTAGAAAAGGTCTGATATTTTCAAAAGGAGTTTGTACACATATATCAAGTATACATTTTGTATTTCTAAATTGCAAAGCAGTGTAATGAGCGTGTATAATAAGTGGCAATTAAAAGCCATATTTTAATCATTACATAATAAATATATATATAAGAAATTAGAAAATTCGGAAATTTCAAATACTTAGTCTGTTCTTTCTTAACTGATGACTCTACACAATTGGGATTAATAGCTAACATTAACAAATTATTATCTTTATTGCTAATATCCTATTAAGTTCGTGTTACGATCACTTACCGTATCCTTCGCCCTGTAGGAATAATCTAAATGCTTCGCTAACTTTCGCTGGTTGTTCTTCTAATACCATACCGCAATCAGAAATCTGAAAAAAAAAAATAAAATAGATATTCAAATTCATATAGATATGCAGTGAACGGCTAAATTATGGAATATTATTATTATTTCGTGAACCGTCGAGTTTAAAGGGAAATCCCTAAACAGGTCGATTTTTATTATAAAATCTTATAACTACTTATAAATTATGTTATAACGTACATGGAGTACGAAATTATTGGCGACGTGCAAGTACTTGGATGTGATACGAGAAACGATCGTGCGCGAGTAGCGGAGAAATCTTGCATTTTTTACTGCACATTTCATAGATTTCATAAATTCATATTGTCAATTGTCAAATTGTCATATTTCATATTCATTTGTTTATTTACACCTTCCGTCACTGAAGAAAATGGGATTTAGTAAATGCTGTATTATAAATTGTAAAAATACAACAAAAAATTGTCAATTTAAGTTTTATTCGTTTCCAACTTCCAAGCACAAATTACTTCAACGAGAAAAGTGGATTTATATCATAAAAAAGCATAAGTAAATAACATAACCTAAATTATGAATTATTCTTGCGCCCGATTTTAAGGTCAGTTTGAAATAAATAATAAATAAAAAAGTTCACTTTTAAGTGAAAATTTTAGTTTCATAACACTCACTTTTCTTCCACATTCTTAATATAATTTGCCACTACTAAAGCTTTTCCCTTTGACTCAGTCATTGGTTGAAAAGTTATTTGGTGATTTACTCTCTCAAATCCAGTTTTTATTATTGCATCCATATTAACAGTAATGCTGTAATTTAATAATGTATTTGTTTGTATTTACACTACATACAACGTTTACCTTTTAATAACATACCGACATAACCTCAATCTTACTTTTCTTCTTATTCTTTTTTGGGGCTACGTCCTTAACAGTTATCCGGTAACCTCGATCTAACATGAAAGCGCAGTAAATTTTGCTGATTTATGACACCAGGTGTCGCTCTTCCGAACTTGCACGGTCCCAATTGTTTAACGAGACGTTAAAATTTTTACAAAGGCACAATAGTACGTACTGTAGCCAAAAAAGCAGCAGCTTTGTTAATAATTGGTGAATGTGGAAATAATTTCCATGCAGCGGAACCTCTTTTAAATGAAAGGTACCCCGATCGCCCTTCATCGAGAGCTTATTTGAGGAAGCTTCTTCGGAAGTTTAAACAAACAGGTAGTATTCAAAATATCAAACGATCTGGTCGACAAACAATTAGTGACGACAAAAAAATTGACATAATTTCAGAAATGTTGGTGAACCCTACTTCTTCTGCAGCCCAAGTTGCATCTATATATTATGGAATCAGTCAAAAGCTGTACACCGAGTGTTGGCTAAAAACAAATTTCATCCATACAAATTAAAAATTGTGCACCAACTTTCAGATGATGACCCCGACCGAAGACTAGAAATTTTTTTTTGGCATAGGCATTTGCCATTGCATGTTTGCATGTGCTACAGCATCCGACAATATTCACATTTTGAAACAAAGAATTATGGAAGAATGTAGGGCAATTCCCCCAGACACATTTAAACGAGTACGGCAAGAGTTTAGAAATAAAATCCATTACTGTCAGGAAGTAGATAGAGCAAATTTTGAATACTTACTAAGAAGCTTACGTCTGTTTATTACCTCCCTTCAAATTTCACTATTACAACAATAATCATTCAAAAGATACGAAGGGGGGAATGGACTTTTGACTAGCATTGTAGACGAATAAAATAATCAGTGTACACATAATAAATAAATTAAGAGATATATTTACCTTCATCCAAGATGAGTTAGTTGGATCAAGTCTTCCATTGAACGTGACGGTATCCTCCATGTGAGGACTCATAGAGCCAGTTATATTCATCACAGGCATAGCTAAGCTTGCATTCTTCTTTTTGAGTGGGTCCATTTCCCTGTGGATATTGAGATCTGTCCTTCTTACGTAACTGTCGATAAAGAGAGCTAAGTTGGTGGGATTTACGTTTCGTTCGAAATAACTTTTGTAAACTTGAACTAGGTCATGGTTTCTTTCTTCGGTTTGCTGAAAAATATACATAACTGCTTAGTCTAGTGTACATAGGAATAATTCTGTAACTGAAATAGATCATACAAACAGTTTTAGCTGATGTTGAAATTGGCATTAAGACAACGAAAGGGTAGACCCTGTACTACTGTCATATTAAAGGTACGATAGGTACGATGCCAGTCTTTAATAAGCAAGTGCATATATTGCAGCGACGAATTTAGACATATTTGGCAGTTAAAAAACGATTAGAGTGGCGATAAATGTTCAGTTTTCATCGTTTTAATCAAATGTGTTATATACGAATATTACACTTGAGTACAGATTGATGTAACACAATTGGAAGAAAGTAGTAAAATCAACCAAGATCTACCCATGATTGTAATCCTACACGATGGTGATGATGAACAAGTCAACTCAACATCAATTTTACGCTCAGATTTCGATGCTTAAAAGGCTTTAAAATTTGGATCCAAAGAAGACTATTGAAAATGCCCTGAACGGTATTGGTAGACGAAAACGAGAAATTTCTTGAAAGGCTTAGTAAATATAGACAGTTGATTTGTAACATAAAAAGGAGAAATAATCGTGATTAAAAATATATGAGAAATTGGACTGGTTTGGACTCAAATGCACAATATAGACATTATTTAGCTGGGATTGTTATCAACTTTCAATAGAAGATGGTAGGTACTGCAAGATTATTTAATATATATGTAGTACAATATGCTTAGTATCCTAAACAACTCATGGTACTTACCCTACCAAAATGATGCCACATCAAATAATCTAAAACACCTTGGGTCATTCCTTTCGAACGAAGATGTCTAGTATTGAGTTTTTGGTACCCCCACTCTATCCAACCAGCTTGAGTACTAACGCAGTTGACCAGACACAGTGCCGAAACGTGTTCTGGACGATTCAAGGCGTACCGGCAGAGAATATTGGCCCCCGCTCCAACGCCGAATCCTATGAACTGTTTCAGACCAAAATGGGTCATTACGTAAGAGACTTGGTTAGCAAGTTCGTCCATCGTTGGGTAAAGATAGCTGAAACAAACGAAACAATTAATGAAAACTAAAATCAAAAGACTTTTCTAGGTTTTTGATAATTGTCATGCATATTGTGTCAATTTATCTCTTCTTAAAATTCCAGATCAAAGTTGATATTATAGTCGGCAACTCCATCGTTAATTTTACAGTGATTGTCGCATGCTCCAAAGACTAACTTGACAAAAACAACACGTTTTGTTATACATGGATGGAAGATAAGCATAAAAAGGGCTCCAATAAAGTTCGTCTGCTTTGTACCATCGAATTCATACAAATTTCCTCCAAAAAGCACCTCAAAACGACATTGATTTATACCACCTGATAGAGAGATTTGATGACACCTAGTACTGAAGGGGTTTCGAATTGTAATCAAATTTATAAGTTATAGCTAAACTCACTATATTTTGATCTGTCGTACGTTTATGACCGGTACTTCCTGGAACTGATGGAAGAAAGGCTCTCTATCAGCCCAACAGTGATCTATCTGGGAGTCCTGTGTCAGAATTCAGTCAGATGTGACGTTGATCTAAAGCAAAAATTTTGGATAGGGTAAGAAATAGGGCACGATTCCTTAATCGACATTCAGGAAGAATTGGTAAAAGATAGGTCAAAATCCACCTTTTACTGCTTCTTGAAGTACTCTCAGTACCAAAAACTTCTGAATACTGGACGCAGTGTTCTGCGTAGCAAACTATAATACCTGTCGATTCCCCTCCGGCGAAGAACATTGCAAATGTCACCCAATTATGGAAAGAATCAAATCTCGGGACAGGAATTTCACCGATAAAGTCATAAGCAGTCCACACTTTAGAACCCAAAAGACCTTAAAACTTCCTGTCCATCTTTCCAATGATCCTGAGCCTAAGGGACTGGGTGAACTGTGGTCACAGGCAATTGGATTACTTCCTGACGCAAGTGCTCACAGGACACGAATGTTTTAGTGCATTTCTTAATAGATTTAGGCGGATACAGACAAATGCCTAAACTACGAATACTCCGATACTGTTACTCAATGCTGGAGTGTAACAGATGGACAGTGGGGAGAAGCAGAATACATAGAGAAATATGTATGAATCCCATGATTATGAAAGAGAGATGACCGCGAAGATAAAGGAAGTAAGGAGTGATGAAAGAAGAAGATAAGCAGCAGCCGGAACAACGATGGAGATAAGATCTACATGAGTGAAGGGAGTGCTCCGAAAGTTTTATCAGCCTTACATCGGTCATTCCGATTAGAAAAAATAGAGCATTAAGAGAAAAAAAAATGAATTTCAAGAAACTGCGGCATAACACTTTTATCCAATTTTGTCTTCAATTCAGTAAATATAGGAGATCTATAACCCTAAATTATGATAGGTAAAAAACATCTGAGTTTTGGGCGGAAGCCGCGTTTTAAATTCTGGAAATGATCTGTTAAATAAAAATTACTACAGTGGGCTTGACAATCCTCCTTCTCATTCCTTGAGGCCTTGTCAGGGCGTGGTGGCACTCTAAACATTATTGACTTGCTGCCTTCATTGGCTGCAATCCTGTGCCATATGGACGGCTTCATGTAGATATTTTCCCAGCAGAGTGTTCGCTTGGTCTTTGATCTTCTACCTTTCCTTCTACTACCAAGTTCCATGGTCACCGTGGTCACCATAGCCTTGTGGCCAAAGTAAATTAGGTATGCTCAGTTTACTCTCAGACAGACTAGTCTGTATTTTATATGAAGCTCTTCCAGAATTGATAGGTTGGTTATATGTTCTCCTATAGACCCACATTTCGAATGCTTCAATCTTAGATCTTTTTGAGAGTCCATGTTTTAGTTGCGTATGTAGCAATGTGAAAAATACGGGCATTGTTTAGCCGTTGCGGTTCGGGCCATTGCTGATCTACGATTGATTTCTGAGGAGTAATCGCGATTGTTGCATTATTTTTGTTTTTCTGGTGTTGTCCGAATTCCTCGCTTATCTGGCTTAGCCGTTCAGTGACGGTAATCATTTTGACTTCACCCGCTGCTGGTATAAGTATATCATCTGCGTATTGCAGTTGGCTGATTCTTCTGCCTCCTATAGTGATTCCTCCATCCCATTTTGACAAATACTTTGACAAATACTGGTAAGCAAAAAGACAATGGAACTAGATGAACGTGTTACAAATAGAGTAGTAGAAAATTGGAATATCTATGTTTTAAAATACAATGTATTTAGATAATATTATATACTTTAATTTAAAGATAGATAAATATAAACTGTAGACATTACTCGTCAATACCATTTGTTTCAAAAGCGTAATTTAATCTTAAGAAAAACGGAAGGTAATCCCACCAATTATTATTGTGCAGTAACTGGAACGATATTATTCAGGGTTTATTAGACGAGGTTATTATATGCACAATTTAATATATTACCCAAACTGGGCGTGTCACGTTCTCGATATAAAATAATTAATCACAAATCATTTTATTTAACTTTCATTCCTATCTACATAAATCACAATTCTTTATGTATGTATTTCATATCTGAATTAATACTTTTATGTATTTATATTTCATAATAGAGATAAAACAAATAGTAAAAATATGGAAAGAACACTGACAAACTATTAACGAGTAAAAATCAAGATGGCATTAATAAAGAAAAAGATAATATACTGTAAGATAACACAGACAATTCAATAAACGAGGAAGAACTAGAAGAAGCGATTAACGATTTTAAGTATGGAAAAGCACCTGGAGTGAATAGAATAACAGTAAATAACAAAAACAAACATTCCCTCTTTGGGAAGGTCCATACCTCATTATGGAGAAGATCAACGATGTCATTTACCGAATAAGCAAGATTCCGAGGGGAAAGCCAATGATAGTACACCATAACCGGCAGGCGTCTTTCGAAGGTGACCACGACGTAGATGAAGAAGTGAAAGTAAACCAAGTCCAAGATGTGTCTGACCTCACGTTTGAGGAATTCATGGGGGCCTATGGAGGTACCGGTAAAGCAAGACATGGTGTAACCACCGAAGAAAAGCAAATCTACTCACGCTTCCCGATGACTACTCACTGGCCCTTACCATCCCGGCCAGTATCAAAGACGCACTTAGCCTTACTTCAATTGAGAGAGCATGTACAGTCCGACGTACAAAAGTTAGCCATGCCAAAGTATAAAGTACAGCCAATTAGATTGGAGAGTTATTCGAAGTATGGTGGAGGAGATCTTTAAAGACACCGAAGTCCAGGTGTTAGTCTGTTGCAATCCGCCTAGTTACTGGTGCGGGGAGAAAACCGTCCCTTGTCATTTTTATACAACTGGAAGTTGTAAAAGAGTTATGATGGCTTTAGAAAGAGATAATAGTAAAGGAAGTGATATGTTTGGTGCATTTTTAAAAGAAGAGTGAAGGTTAATCTGTTTCTGGTGGTCGCCAGAACTTCGACACTTCCACTCGAACATCGACAAAAAACAGACCATCCAGAGAGACTTGAAAATGGCAAGTGAGATCTTGCCGAAACGTCGTCAAAATGGTTTTCATCAAAACCAACAACATTTAACGCGGAGTCAAACCGGAATACCATTGATATAACATACAGCTCCCGCGGAAATATCAAAACTAACATATATATATATATATATATATATATATATATATATATATATATATATATACATATATATATATATATATATATATATATATATTATATATATATATATATATATATATATCTAAAACCAAGTTAGACTCTTTGGGTAAAAAACAGCTGAAAGGATAGGCTAAGTGTACTCTTTAGTCCTTTATTGATCCAATATTTCGTTGATAGTTATCAACATCATCAGGGATAAGCTACAATTAGTTTACATGAAAATTGACAATCTGCTATAAATACGTTGATCTTACTTACGATTTTGAGAATGGTGCCGTAAAAGCTGGTCAAATTTATAAAATTTTGTGAGAAAAATTGTATAAGTTTTTTTCTCACAAAAGAAAACAGAAAAAACATGTAATGTTAAAATTCACTAAGACTGGTACAAAGACAATGCACAATTTCAACTAATTGTGTTTTTACCCAAAGAGTCTAACTTGGTTTCTTCTAACTAATCTTCTAACTTAATCAGCTGTGATTAACACCATATATATATATATATATATTATATATATATATATATAATATATTATATATATATATATATATATATATATATATATATATATATATATATATATATATAAACTAGTACTGGTGACAGTATGATAATTTAATAAATCTCGTCGAAAGATACAGTGTTGGATCGCCGTCCAATATCAGATTAAAATTTCGACAACGTTAATGGAAATCGCTACACGTATTAGCGAAATTTACGACTAACGACCGTGGGGGCACAAACGAATAATTTTCGGAAACGTTCCGTTTTATGTTATTTTTATGGCGCCATTTGAAAGAAAGTAAATCGCACAATCGATACGTTGCGACGACGAAGACAAAAGACTTTTACCACCTTGCTAGAAACAATATTAATGCAGTTAAATTCTTTGTACTAAAGGAAATTACTTTCAATGATGGGATATATTATATTACATAACAAAAAAAATTGTATAAGTACCTAATTTTTATTTGCAACTACATGCAATTGTTAAATACTTTAATATAAATAAATATATTCCCTGATCATCTATAGATTTTCATCCCGGGCTCGTATAGTTTGCCTTAGATATATGCGGTTTGGATCAATTTTGATTTTTAATATGTTCTCATCAAATCCCTATTTTATGAAATCACAAATTCGCTAATTAAACAAAAAAACAATGCTTTCTCTTACAAAACAAACTATAGTAGGAACATCTGCTACATAAACTTTCTCCTCTCTAAGCTTAAGATGACGGAATACTATTAAAAAAAAAGAAACAACGGAAAAATTGACACTTTTTAAGATTATACCAATATCTTCTTTATTATCTATCAAGCAATTTCTTATATCAACAAATTTGATATAAAAAAAAACTTTAATCATATTCTTAACGCT